TGATGGCTCAGCAATCCTCGGTTCTTCTTTGAGTAGTGTCCCTGTGGGTGCTCCACTTTAGGTGGAGGTGCATCGCATAAATTTAGTGGAGATTTATGGTAGCAGTGTCCATCTGGGTCACTCATGTGCAGTAGGCATCTTGCAATGCCGTTGGTGCCACATGTAGCATGCACACGACCCAAGCCCTCCAGTTCCCTCTCAACCATCCTCGGCTGAAGACGGAGTGAAGGGGCACTGTTAGCAATTCTCCCTAAAACTGTTAAGAAATAGCTTTTAGATAAATATTTAGATAAGTTGTTACAGAGATAGTTATAGTTAGTGTTAGTAAAAAAAAAAAAAAAAAAAAAAAAAAAAAACCAACCCTAAGATGAAACAACCTGATCCGTCCTCTGTTTTCCTTGAACACCAGGCCTCAGAGCTGATGTGAGGTTGGAGAGTCATTGACCAATCAGTGAGGACTCATCCCTTCCTTTATCTGGAGACAGGCTAGCCTGATTCAACAACAAATAGTCGTATTACATCAGACTTATGGACCCTAGAAGTTATGGAGAAGGACTATGCTATTCAGTTTGAAAAACTACTCCCTTTCAAATTCCCCCTGCCTTTCCTTTTCAGGGAACCTTCACATGACTACTTTTGGAAGTACAGAAGTTACTCCAAATACGAACTGTCAAGAGGGTACCCAAACATCAGTGTGGTCAGGGCTTTTATTCAAAACACTTGGACTTTGTAGCAGGGAAAGCCTTTCTCCCAGAGGACAGGTTTCTAAAAGTAGAGCAAGCTGTTTTTTTAAATTTGAACCTGTCAAACCTGGAAAGTGATGTTTTTTGTAAAGTTGCTAGTGAAATAATTGTAAGCACACATGAAGCCATAGAAAGGAACAAGGATATAAGGCTGGCTTTGAACGCTGAACCATGTACCTTTCTGAAATGCGATAGGTCTATCTCAGGTAAGCAAAAGAAAAATACTAAAAGGTGTGTGAACTGTGTCCAGCTGCAGGAGGTTTTCAGAAAGGCAAGCTGTCATTATCTGGGTTGGAATTCAGCCAGGAGACTGGGGATAATAACCCTGTGCTTAGGAAGGGCACGATGAAAATGTTAATTAACACAAGTGGACAAGATCTCTTTTTTAATCTCATCTGAACAATGGCACCTTCACCAGCACAATGGCACCTCACACCATGCTGGGTGTTGGTCCAATTCTGGGTCAAAGGACAGAATACCACTGACCGACTCACAAATTTCACTTCTCATAGCACTGAGGGTACATCTACATTGTAGCTGGGATTGAGCCTCCCAGCCTGGTGGACAGCACACTAGCTCCGCTCAAGCTAGCATGCTAGAAATAAGTGTGGACGCTGCTGCTTAGGTGTCAGTTCAGGCTCTTAGGCCCACCTGACACCCCCTGGGTCTGAACTCAGGTGGCTAGTACACGATCCACACTGCTATTTTTAGCAAGCTGTCTACCTGGGCTGGGAGACTTGTTCCCAACTGCAATGTAGAGGTATACTTAGGTGGTGCATGGAGGCCTTCCCCTATCAGTGTCAGAGCCAGGATTAGAATGCAAGAGCAGGAGGGGAGAAGTGGAGAAAAAAGAAAATCCAATAACTTAAACAAAACCCTATAAAATTGTGAGTTTGTGAGGTGCCTAAAACTTGTTGGGTGTTTATATTCAGTTAGATTAATAATAATATATACCCACCTTATTTTTGCATTTCATTTAATTGATTGATTAAACCAATTTGAAAATTCCCCACTGGTATTTTAATTACAATTACTCCTAATGAACTATTAAAACCTTTAAAAATACAAGGTTTTACTTCTGATGGATCTCCAAAGCTGGCACCTCATCTGCTGAGCCAGCAGCCAACTGTGGTTTCATTAGGACCTTTATTTTTAAATGAAGGGGGCTGAGTCATTCGAACCCTGGGAGTCAGGACTCCTGGGTTGTATTCCTAGCTCTGTAGCTGATTCACTTACCTTTGGAAAATTATATGCTTTAGTCAAACACAAGTTATTGGGCTCAATACAGGAATAAATGGAAGAAATTCTATAGCCTGTTATGCAGGAGGCCAGACTAGATGATCTAATGGTCCTTTCTGGCCTTAAAATCTATGAAACTGTGAAGTTGCCTAATCCCTCTGGGTCTCATTCTACCTATCTGTAAAATGGATCTAGTAATGCTTCCTTTTGCATGGAGGTATTGTGAGGCTTAGTTCATGTATTTCAGACATATGGATAGTGCTATGGGGAGGGATTGCAAAAACAGTCTTCTCACTAACTCCTCACACCAGTGCAAGGACTAGTAGGCTGCTTGTGCCCTACCCTACAGAGCAGCCAGGCAGAGGTTGCAAGAGCCTAAAGTACTCTCATTACGTATGCTTCATTCCTGAGGACAGATGAGATGGAATGTCTCTTCATCTCTTCTGTGTTTGTCAAGAGGTAGGTCTTGTCTTGGCACCTGCCTCTCATCTGTTTGGGCTTTTTTGATGTCTGTGTGTTTTTATGTCCAAACAGCTATATTATAAGTGGTTCAATTCTCTAGTGTCCTACCTAAAAGTTCAACCAAATTGTTAAAATCAAGTTAGCGTGAACCTGCTTAAACCCCTCCTTTAAAGTGGTTCTGCGAACATTGTTCTGAGCCCAATGAAGACAGGGACATTGTCTCCCTCTTCCAAGCAGAACTACATTGCAGTGAATTCTGATGTAAGTACTTACTCTCCTCTCTGCCTTTGACTGTCACATCGCATTCGCTTTCCCTGGCGCTTTGGCCAAACCTAATGGAATACCTTAGCATTATTGGAAGCCCCTGTCTGTCTTGCTGTATTGCAGGGTCTGTTAACCTTTCCTGACTACTGTACCCCTTTCAGAAGTCTGATTTGTATTGCGTACCCCCAGGTTTCACCTCACTTAAAAACTACTTGTTTACAAAATCAAACTTAAAAATACAGAAGTGTCACAGCACACTAGTACTGAAAAATTGCTTACTTTCTCATTTTTACCATATAATTATAAAATAAATCAATTGAAATATAAATATTGTACTTACATTTCAGTGTATAGTATATAGAGCAGTATAAACATGTCATTGTCTGTATGAAATTTTAGTTTGTGCTGACTTCGCTAGTGCTTTTTATGTAGCCTGTTGTAAAACTAGAGGAGTTGATGTACCCCCTGGAAGACCTCTGCATACCCCTGGTTGAGAATCACTGCTGTCCTGTGAGTGAGCCCTTCTACAGCCACTGCACTCCCCAGTAATACAGATGCATCCTGCTTTTAGACATTTTCATTTTGCCTGCTTCAGCTTTTGGGTGCCCAACCTGAGGCATGTGAGTCGAATCACCAGAGTTGTTGAAGTTAGTGGGAGCTGCAGGTGCTCACCACCTCTGAAAATCAGACCCTGAGTGTTTCAAGTTAGACCCACAAAAATGAATGGTCAGTTATGAAAATCCTCTGCTACTAACTACTAAGGAAATTCCACAAACATCTCCCAAAATGACAGTGCAGTTTGACAACTGCCAGTGAATTCCCAGAATCCTACGAAAGTCATCTAATATTTTTTCAGTTTTTTGGTGAATATTTTGTAAAGAACATCCCATAAGATTAATAAACAGCAGTCTAAGCATAGGGATTCAAGTGATAGTGATGCACAAGCCTGCAGCAAACCATCAAATCTCTCTGCTTATGTGATCAGATAAAAATGGAAGTCACATGATGCTTTGAATTCAATACATGAAATTGTATTCTAAATTATTACTGCAATTAAAACACTTAAATGATACTCTTACAGCCAAAAGCATCTTCTCTAAAAGGACAACACATAGCCAGTATTGCAATGTTTAAAACAGCATATATTCTCTCCTGAGGCTTCACTGGAGAATACAGCACATGGGGACTAGAGTACATGATCATAGGTTCATTGAAGTCAAGCCCCCTAATCTCTGCACTGTTCTGACATGTAAATCAAAATGAAATGCTCGGGGCAAATAAACCAGTCAGCATCTGTGTTAGCTAGGCTTTGCCTTTCTGCCATTTTCCATGCCAGACATGAGATGCAGTGCACTCCCAGGATTAGCCTTTTCCCAGTGGACTAATTTACATAGCACCGAATGACCCCTAGAAAAGCACATTGTACTAGCTTGTCACATGTGACAGAAACTGCTGGCTTTTCTTTTGACAACAAACATGAAACATTTGCACCTCCAGCATTTTTCACACAATGCTGTACATGTTAGCAAGTGTACGTGTAAGTTTCATAAACTGAGCTCTTCCTTTTTTTTTTTTTTTAATTCATCTTTCCATAGAGTTGTACAGCAAGTGACTGAATCAACTAAACAATAAAGCAAGAGCACATGAAAATTTTGGTCCTGCTGTTCATGCATGGTAAGTAAAATAAATGTATAATTGACTAAGGGAGTTGTTGGTTGCAACTGATTTCTACAGCATGTTAGCTGGTTAATAGAAGTGAAAATACCTAACTTTTTGAATGCTCATGGATTACATAAATGAAATGATAGTTTTCCCTTCATATTTAATTTGCATTAATTATAGTAACTATAATGCTATGGGAGAATGGAAAGATTTTTTTAAAATGTATGCTAATGTAGAAATGTTTAACAGTCACCTACTGCAGGGCTGAAAAGAAGTCTGGCTCATTTAGTATAAACATAGACTATCGCCTATTTGTGGTAAGTTAGAACAGTTAATTACAGTGTGCAGATATTTATTTAGTCATATATAATTTGCACTTAGACGAAGGGTATTTAGGGAATTTATTAGTACATGTCCATTTGTTGATAATCTGGCTATAGTTGAAAGCAAAAAGTTCACATATATAATTTAAAGAATTACTTGTTTAAAGGCATAACATACTCTTCATTCAGACAATTGGAGGATCTGATTTCTATTGAAATTAGACCTGGTGTCCCACACTACATGCCAGTGTAGTTGCAATTTGCATATATTTTCAATGTATGTAACCTTTATTTGCAATAAGAAAGAATGGTGGAAGACTCAGAAGGCCTAAAAAACTCTGGAAGTCAGAGAATATGGACAGAAACACCCATCAGGAGAGAGAACAGATTTATTGGTAAGTCTCCCAAAGAGATGAAAATGACTGTTGCCAGGTGTAATTCTGCTGAACATTATCAGCTTGTCATATCATTTTAACTAGCCTTGTTCCTGAACTGAAGTAATCTCTCTGCCACTTTAAATTAATCAGCACTCTATGCAATTTTGTCTGTCCACTGAACACTGCAGAAATGCGCAAGACAGATACTTTTCTCAGATATTTGTTCTTTATTCAGCAATATGAAATGACTGCTTGATTTAAATGCTGCTTAGCAACTGAATCTGTCTTCCAAATGTGGCCTTCCACTGTTTTCATACACATGACTATTCTGCCTCTCATGATGCAGTTTCAGGTCAGAAGGATGATGTGTGGGGTACAGATGTGACAACTAAATGTGAAAATGAAGTCAGAGTTCCAGGCATAAGAAGCATAACTCAGTCACCCCCTCTAACTACAGACACTGATGGAGAATATGGCAGCACTTTTTAGAGATTGAGCTTTATACAGAGTGGAGCTGATATGGAGGATTAAAACACATAAATAGGCCATAGGGAAGACATACTAGACTGAATCGCTAAGGGCCTGATACTCCATTGCCTTGCACCTCATGTGGGCATTTCTACTTGTGGAAATTGGGTATAAAACACTAACAAATCAGAATGATAACATTATATCCCCATCTAGCACCAATGACTGCACAACAGGCCACACAATGGAGAATCAGGCACTACATTGTTAGCCAGACTAAAGGTAAGGGATACAATTCCTCAGACTGATCAATTTGATAGTCAATTAGAATAAAAGCTGCACAATGATACCTAATATTTCCTTGAAAATAAGTATAAAAGACTTCATTTTTTTAAAATGGCTTCTGAGTTTGGTCCTTTAGTTGCTTGTGGTTACAAAATTCCAGACATCGTGAACTGCAGGAGAAAATACAGAATTTAAACAACCATCTGTCCCTGCAAATCAGGTAACTAGAAGAGGTGTCTAAATGCCAACACTTGCTCCAGCATTAATTGAGAGTGCAATATTGTGGGTGCAATTTAGAAGCTTGGCATAGCCTACTTTTAAATGAGGCTCTTTGATGTTAAATGTCTGAGAATTACCAATTAATCCCATGGGTTTACAGCCAAAAGCATCTTCTCTGAAAACACAACACGTGTAATTTATTTTATTGAGATTAACTGGCTATGTGCAAAAGCCCCTATGATGAAAAGAACATCATTTTCCATTTTAACTGATTTGGGCCAACATGACCTCATTTAGTCACCTCTCTGCTTTGCTCTATCACTGGAGAGATCTTTTGGTTATCCCTGTTAATGTTCTGATGTGGTGTTTTGTGCAACAGTGTTCCCACTTGTGAGAACTGAGAGGGGTTATTCTGGTTTCCATCATGGGATATCTTGGATGAAATCCTGGCCACAGTGAAGTCAATAAGAGTTTTGCCTTTGACTTCCATGAGGGCAGAATTTCATCCCTTTTGTCTGTGAATGTGTATAGTGAGACTGTACCTTCCTTTGGGTGAGGTACACGTTTTTACTTGGCTATACAGCACCAGCCACATCAATCTCACACAGATGCACATGCACATGTGTACATACAAAATTTACTTTCAAGTTTATTTTATTTCTATGTATGTGTTTCAGATGCAGTGCTGAGCTACCTCATGGGTCCAAGATTTCTGGTTTATGCAAGCTGTGCACTTTCTATATGGGTAAGATAAACTCAGATAAAATTATTGCATTGTAAATGATCAAGGGAAACCTGGTTTTGGAAGCACTGTAGTATATCTGGAAACAGATATTTAGAAATGGATCAAATTTAAATCTTCAGTATTCAGACTGCCCCATTTTCTGTAGTTTCATTTATTTACTCCATGGTATTGCTTTATTTTGTGAGGCTAAAATAAAAATAAAGTTTTGTCTCTTCTGTTTTTCAGGGAGATCGAATGTGGCACTTTGCCATGTCTGTATTCCTGATAGAATTGTATGGACATAATCTCCTTCTAACAGCTGTTTTTGGGTTAGTGGTGGCTGGCTCAGTACTTGTGTTTGGGGCCTTAATTGGAGATTGGATTGATAGAAAACCAAGAAACAAAGGTAATTGTCTGTGTTGATTTTTTTTCAGAGTAGCAGCCGTGTTAGTCTGTATCCGCAAAAAGAACAGGAGTACTTGTGGCACCTTAGAGACTAACAAATTTATTTGAGCATAAGTTTTCGTGGGGTACAGCCCACTTCTTCGGCCCACGAAAGCTTATGCTCAAATAAATTTGTTAGTCTCTAAGGTGCCACAAGTACTCCTGTGTTGATTTTGATATTCCTAACTAGGAGATACAACCTTCTGAATATAATTACTATCCATGTGATTCAATAATGCTTATACTGTTATCTTCTTCAGAGTGCTTTAAAAATATTAATCATTTCTCGCACCGCTTTTATGAAGGAGGGAAGCATTATATCATCCTAATTGAACAGAGAAACTGAGAAAGAGAGATTAGGGTAAAAAGTGCCTAAGTGATGTAGGAGCCTAAAGCCAATGTGACTTCCCCAAGGCCACAGAAGATGAGCTGGGAGTAGGAGTTCCTCGCTGAATTTGCATAATGTTAAATAATGTTCCTTATAATTAGCTCTGGTCAGAAAATAGAATTTCTGTTCTATAGTGAGAATGAGGTGTCATTCTTTGTTTTTCATACAAAGCTGAGAAATTTCTGATTAGAAAAGTCTGTTCAGGTGGCTGCTGCGTTTTGTCAGATTGTTTGTATTAAGTGACAGAATTTCTGAGATTCCTTTAAAATTGAGCAGATATGTATCACATCAAGAGCTGTTTCATTCTGCAGTTGCTCATGCATCGCTGTTCATTCAGAACTCCTCTGTCACTGCCTGCTGCGTAGTACTGATGTTGGTGTTCTCTTACAAAGCCGAGATTGAGCAAATGTGGCATGGCTGGTTTACTGTAAGTGTCTATTAACCTGTTTCTTTCACAGATAAATTATACTTTGAATATTTCAGTCTTGGGTTTTTTATGTAGGTTAATAATGAATGTAAAGTATTTGCTTTAATCTTAGAGATTGACTGTGGGCCAGACTCTCCTCTGTGCTGTGGCTGCTGTACACAGCACCACCAGCAAAGCAGAAAGCCGGTATAGTCAGCCACAGGGTATCCTCACAGAGTGGATCCTATGATGGGGAAGAGCCAATGAAGCAGCTCTTCCTCTCCCTCCATATTCCCATCCCCCTCCTGCACCCTGGGCTGTGAGTGTAAGGCGTGGAGCTGGTGTTTCCTTGTATCCTGGTGAGCCCCAGCTGTTGTATGGGCCTTTTGGAGCTGTTGGCAGCCAGGGCAAGTTAAAGCAGCCCTCAGGGGGACCAGCCTGCCCCAGGAATTGGGGGGCTTAAACCCGCCATTGCACTTGCTCCCACCCTTTAACACTCTGTATTTCTTGGCTGCAGCTGAGGATCTAGGCCTTGGTGTATTGAGCCTCTTTAACATGTTTCCCTCTAGTGTTCACCTTTGATTTGAGGCAAAGCCTATACAGTCGCCTCTTGATATAATGGCAGAAGATTATCAGGTTTAGGGGCAAATTCTGCTTTCATTTACCCCTCTTTAAATCTAAAGCGACTCCACTGAAGGCAACGGGGTCACCCTAGCTTTCAGGAGGTTTAACTGAGAACAGAATCTGGCTCATAGCGTTAACGGAAAAGAAGCTGTTGCTGCTCAAATTAGCAAAAATGTACTCACTCCAGTGGCAAACTTAACCGGTCTCTGAAAGCGTCCATCTTTATTGAGACTTTGTGTAATGTTCCAGCCAGCAATAGCTGAGTAACCTTGATTCTTGGATTCCAACCTCTGGTTTTTATTCACTTCCAACAAGGTGTTCTGTTATGCAGTGGTAATCATCTTAGCCGATCTGGCAAACCTGGCAAGCACAGCGCTGACGATAACCATTCAGAAAGACTGGATTGTGGTCATCACAGGTGATAACAGAGGCCAACTGGCTGGTGAGCTAGATATAGTCTATGTTCATTTACGTAGGAGCCAAAGCTATATTTTATTTAATAGAAGAAACATAGTTACATATTTATTTAGAAACAAATTTCTAATCTCATTCCTTAATAAGAGTCTAAGAAGATTAAATAGAGCTGTGTTCAAAGCTATATCTCTCAGGGGAAAGCCTTGTAACGTATAGGTGACAAAGATTTCAGTTTTTCACCAATTTGTGGTTGATCAGATAAAAAATAGGACTGTGCTTATTAGTAATGAGCTTTTATTAACAAGTAAAAGTAGCAAAGTTATTTCAGGTGAAGCAACTACTGAGATTTGACAACATCTTTTTAGACAGGAGCCTACATGGCACAATAGGTTGGTTACACTTGTCTTCTGCTTTGGGAGACCTGATTCAAACCCTGGCACAAATGATAACTGAAAGGACATATCGAAGTCTCTGTGTACCTCACACCACCACCACATACTGCAATTAGGCTCTCTTGGAAGTCTCTCTCTGGCAGCATCACAGGTCTAGGTTAGGAGGGGTTCTTGTAAATCAAGATTAAAGTGCACTGCCAAAGCTGAGCAAGGAAGCATACATGTCTCTTCATGCTCTCCCAAACTCAAACCACTGTTATTAGTCCCTGGCTTTCATGAGCACATCTTTATCTGTCCTCCCTCCCACCCAATCACTTTATTTTTCATTTGGTCTTCTGTAAAATATCTTGCTCCTTTTGAATAACTTAAGTGATACTTTATTATTAATATTATTAGTTGTATCACAGTAGCACTTAGAGGCCCTGAGTGAAATTCGGACTCCATGCTGTATAAGCATATAGTATGAGACAGTCCCTGCCTATAGAGCTTTTAGTGTTATTAGGCAAACAAAGGGTGGAAGAATTATCACGTCAGTACTGATGCATGCGTGTGTATGTATATATGTAGAGTGAAATGCATTCTGTTTTTACACCATGTCTAGGAATGAATGCAGCTATAAGAAGAATGGATCAAGTCATAAATATCTTCGCTCCTCTGTCTGTGGGGCAGGTTATGACCTGGGCCTCTAATGTCATTGGCTGTGGATTTATTCTTGGATGGAACTTGATCTCTCTTCTGGTAGAATTTATATTCCTATCCAGGGTGTATCAACTAGTGCCTCCTTTGGCTGTAAAATCTCAACAGAATGCAGGAGAATATGTTATAGAAAGACAAGTGGAACTTACAAATGTGCCAGGTAAGTAGTATTCAATAGGAGAACAGCCTCCCACCAACATTTAAAAAATGTATTATTATGAAATACAGGCTTACATCCAAAATGTTGAATTACATATCAAATAATTAGAGTACTAGAGGGTATCCAATGAGTCATTCCACAGGAACTGCATGAAGATAATAAAATTACTATCAAAAGAAAAGAGAAAAGCCAAGTAGCAAATCTGCGGGGGTCAATTCTCCAAATCCTTGTACTAGGGTGATTTACATACACAACTCGCAATGGCGTTAAGGGGAGTTATTGGTGGAAATCTTTCATGTGGGTGTGAGAATAGCAGAGCCTCCATTGTTTAATACCTTGCCAGGCAGATTTAAAGACTGCTTAATGAATCCATCTGTCTGCATTATGTACTCCTTGGTATAGAGCACTATCCTGCAGCACGTCACTGAACCACGATATCTGATACTCATTTAGAATGATGGTTGTCATAGCAATTCAAGATGCTAAAAGAAAAGAAGTCAGTGAAGAATGGTTTAATGCATGTAATCCCTAATACTTAGTTTATTTTTGCTACTCTCTTTAAAAGAGTATTGTATCCCCAGTGACCATCTTCCTGTTTTAGTGGTTCTCCACGGTTCAATTCCTGCCTCATTGCACATGGCCATCTCCTACTAATGACAATGGAAATTATGCATTAGTACTGTTGCCCATTTTTGACCTGAACCACTCATCAAAGTTTGGGGCCCTTCAGATGTTCTAGTTGGAGGGAGAAATTGGTGATAGTCAGGTATGCAGTTTTGTTTATATGCAAAGTCCTGTGTCTCTTAACACAGGAGGAATAAAGTAACAAAAGGATCAGTTTCTTAACTTACAGAGTTCAAGTTGCTTTAGCCAACACCCAACCCCAAAGCACTCTCTCTAGCTTCTTCCAGGGTCACACTGTGCTTACAGCTTCCTGCTTGGCTTTTCTTGCCTTTCTTCCTCTGCCTCTCTCTGTTCTTGTCTGCCATATCAATAATTTCAATAGCAGTGTTTTTTCTCACACTCTCATACACACATACTCAAAACAATACTCAGCCCAAAAGCTCCTCAGCAGGTTCACACACACCTTTTGTTTTCGGTGGGGCTTATGTTTACAGTGATGTTAATTGAAGAGTGAGTTCACACCTATCAACCTCAGTGGGGTTTTAACCCAACCCATAACAAGGTTTCACCAAACTCATGCCAGAAGACTAGATCACTTATGACAACAAGACAACTCCTCTGACATTGACCTTGACTGATCAAGATGGCTACATAGCTCAAGGCTGTGAAAAATTTCGTACCCTGACTGCAGAAGTTAGATCTATCTACTAGATGTGGCTAGGCTGACAGAATAATCCTTCCATTGACCTAGCTATCTCCTCCATAGGCACTGAGTTTCTAGCCCAGGCCCACCCCTTTCTCCCAGGCCCTACCCCCCGCCTCTTCCTGCCCTCTTCCGCCCCCTCCCCCAAATGCTCCTGGCTCTCGCTCCTCCCCCCGCCTTCCCTCAGTGCCTCCTGCATGCTGCAGAACAGCTGATCACGGTGGGCGGCAAGCACTGGGGAGAGGGGCAATCGCTGATTGGTGGGGCTGCCGGTGGGTGGGAGGCGCTGGGGGGGGAGGGGCAGGCAGTGATAGAGGGGCTGCCAGTGGGTGCTAAGCACCCTTTTTTTCCCCCCAGGGGTCAGTGCCTATGACCTCCTCTTGGAAAGGTGGATTAACTACCTTGACAGAAAAACCCTTTCTGGCAATATCGGAAGTGTCTACATTACAGTGCCATAGCTGTACTGCTGTAGCCACTGTAGTGTAAACATACCCTCTGTTGACTATACTAATGAGAACATACTAGCCATCCACAAGTGTTTTTCCGTAAGAACAGACATCTCTATGTGTGGGGTGGATGTCAGGAATAGCAGAGGGGGAGGTGAATGGGATGCAGGAGTGGGGGTTGAATAGGAGCAGAGGGGCGGGTGAACAGGAGTCAGAGGGATGGGCAGTTAGATAGGAACAGAGGGTGATGGGGGAGGAGCCAGGGAAGGGGTGGGGAGACTGGATAGGAGTAGGAGGAGAGGGGACAGGAAAGCTGAGGGAGTGGGGCAAGGGTTGGAGGAGCAGAGAGACACAGACACAGCCTAGGGTCACAGTGGTAGAAAGGTCTACCCATTAGAATACGCTCCCCTACAAAACCTGGAATTGAATCCAGGAGTCCTGAGTCTCTACATTATTCTGTTTTCAGCAAGTAGCTGTGAAACCCATTGGCAAAGTGTGTGTCTCATTCCCCACTCTGCCTGTTTCACACAGAGGATAACAGCCTACTACAGCTACTAGTTATTCTATTAGCTCAAGTGGTAGAGGTCTATGCAGTGAGTCTAACTGTTCAAATCATGCTGCTGATCCAAGCTGCGGGGGAGGGGAGGAGGGTGTCAGTATGCTTCCACATGATAGAATTTCAGTGTTTTCACTTTTTACTTAGGTTCCGGACATTACATTAAAAAAGAAACTACATTAACCGTATGCTAAAGGTTGTATAGTTGAGCACACATTAGGAAATGCCAGAATTAAAGTTACCTAGGCAATCTTAATTTGACCGTCTTGTGTGTATGCATTATGATACAGTCTTTAGTGACATGATCACATACTAATTTTTCCCATGGGGACCCCTGCCTCATTCAGTGTATTGGACTGATGCTGTTCTGGGGAAGAATCAGGGCTGTGTATCCCTCCCTACCTCTGCCACAGACTTCCTATGCATGCTGGACAAATTACCTAAACCAAAATGTTCACAGGTGACCACTAACTGTGTATTCCTAATTTTCTGGATGCCCAACACCTGAGACCAGGTTTGCAGAAGTGTTCAGCATTCACAGCTGCAACTGGAGTCAATTGAATCTATGCTTTGAGTATGTTAGAATGACAGAAAATGCGAAGTACTCTGAAAAATTGTGACCTAGTTGTTTCAAGTTGGATACCCAAAAATAGTGGATACTCTAGACAATTTTGGCCTTGATCTCATTGTGTCTCAGTTCCCCATCAGTAAAATGAGGATAATAATACCTCCTAATCTCACAGGGTTGTTGTGAAGATAAATGAATTAATGTTTGTGGAGCACTCAGATACTATGGTGAGCACAGTCCAGAAACATCCATAAGGAAATTAATAATTTTGTATTCAGTGCAGCATTTGGATGGTGTGTGTTAAATAAGTCCTTGGACCACACATTGAATGAGAAGGATAAAAAGAAATATTGAATAAACACCCATTTACTGAACAAGGTGCTGGATCTTGTGGAAAAAATAATATGTGATCATGTAATTAAAGACTGTATCATGATGCATATGCACTAGGGGATTGAATTAAGGTTGCATTGAAAGCATTAATTCTGGCATTTCCTAACTTTTGAGTGCTTGAGTGCCATCCTTAATACTCTTTTAATGTAGTTATTTTTGTATGACATATAAGATATATATTTATGCACTGAAATATGAGCCCCACAATGACATTTTTTTACAATCATTTTTCTCACACACAGGGTAATTAGCACTTAGCACTTACATTTTCAAAGTACTCTACAAACATTAATAGTAATTAAACTAACTTACTCTTGATGGATGATATGATCACTTAGATGGAATTAGCTGGAGGTAATTGAAACTGACTATAAATATGAGAATAATTTACATTTTCTGAAAACTGTCATTCTTTCATAGAAAAAAGTATCATGTGCCTTTTAAAAATGAAATACCTTTGATGAGGCAAGTAAAACTGCATATATATTACAGTCACAGTTATAGTGCTCTACACCTTCAACGTTCTTGGTAAGAACTAAATGTCAAATCCTTACAAAAGCCCTAAAAGTTTGAAAATAGTATTATCTCACTTCTATACATGGGAAATCTGAGAGAGACGTAAGTAATTTACCCAGGGACTCAGTATTAGCACCAAAATTATAACTCAAGAGTTTCTGGGTCCTAGTCTTCTCTTCAGATCAGTAGACCATAGTCATCACATTTAGCTCCAATAACAGAGCTTAAAAACAATCTTAAGGAACTTAAAGTTCTAAATATCTTCCAAAATATGCACAATGAAGTTAACCATGATACATCTGTATCTAATTTACATTTACATTTAAATCTTTATTTTGTAGTTGTATTGAAACACCATTCTTTTTTTCTAAGCTTGCAATATAGATGAGGATGAACTGGATATTGGGTTTCCAGTCAATGTTTCTTTTTTGCATGTGCAATAAATCCCATACTGGATCTGGTGCCATTTTGAATGTCTGAACCAAAAGAGTAGAAACAGAGCCAGAAACCTTTACTTAACAAGTTCCCCTTTAAGTTCATTAGTTCTGATTAAAACTTGATTTGTCTGACCTTACTTTTAGCTTTATATTGTGTGTGTGTGTGTGTGTGTGTGATTCAATTTGTCACGTCACTCTCTGGACAAGATGTAAGGCTATGCCTTGCACCCGAAAAGGTCAAATGAAGTAATTCAGGGCCAATTAATAACAGGTCCACTTTCAACTCCCTTTATTTGATGCTTTCAAATGCCTTTAATCTTTGCCTTCTAGCAGCTGCTTTGAACAGATCAGTCGGGGTCCACTCTTCCCAAGAAAGCAGGAATTCTTATTGCAGTTTACTGCACAGTGGAGCAGTTGCCACCAGAACCATTAAAACCTTCTGACTGGTATTTTACAGGGGATCTTCCCATTTGCTCAGCTGTTGTTGAATTCATCAACAAACCTGGGATTCCAGAGGCACCGACAGAGCAGAAATCCAGTCCTGAAATGCAACGCAAGTCAGTCACAAAACTGCCTCTTTGCTTCAGAAAAATGCACAGGATGCTGTGTACGTGCAGAGATGGCTGGAAAGCATATTACAGGCAGTCTGTCTTTTTAGCAGGCTTGGGTTTAGCCTTCTTGTACACCACAGTGCTTGGCTTTGACTGTATCACTACAGGGTACGCCTACACGCAGGGGATCAGTGGCTCTCTTCTCAGCATACTCATGGCTCTTTCTGCCTTCTCAGGACTAATGGGCACAGTTTTGTTTACTAAGCTAAGGAAGCATTATGGCTTGGCTGTCACAGGAGTCGTATCCAGCCTCCTCCATGTAAGCTGTTTAATGCTGTGTGTGTTTTCAGTCTTTGCCCCCGGCAGTCCTTTTGACTTGGGTATTTTCTCTCTTCTCACAAGTAAGAACTCTTCCTTAAACCACGAGACACTGCAAAAGAACCAGCTGCATATTTACCCATTCCAAAGAAACATCAACCAACCCATACTGCCAGATCGTTCTTCAATTCATTGGACTAATAATACTGTGTTGTTGGACAGCGTGCATGGGAGTGATCACCCAGAATCCTATATTTCAATCATTCTCTTGTTCTCAGGAGTGATACTAGCCAGAATTGGTAAGTATACATGCAATTTGCCACCACATGCGGAGTCGCTTCACTGGGTAAATGATTCTATGAACAAAAAACAGATGTGATGATCTCTCTGATACATATGGCCCACATCATCATAGTATTGACTGTTTCACAGTCTAATATATTTATTCTCACCACACCCCTGTTAGATAGGGAAGTGCTGTTATCTCCATTCTACAGATGGTGTCGGGATTCTGGGCGAAGGTAGGCAGGACTAGTGGCAGGAGTTTAAGAGCCGGAATCTGAAGCCTAATCTCTCTAATCTAATCTCAAAAACAGAATCATTTGAGCAAATGGATGTTCCATTGGCTTAGAGCCAGTCAAAAAAATCCCTCTATATGAAAGCACAGAATGTACAACAGCAGTTGTGCCAGACTGCTGTATGCTTAAATATGTAAGTAGCAGAATTAGTGATTAGTACTTAAGGTAAGAAAATTCAGATAATTTAATATGAATCTCCTCACAGGTAGCACCATTCCACAAACAAAGGTTTGTAATGGGGGGGGAGGGGATGTTGAGGCTTCTAAAGAGATGCCATTTGGAATGAAATCACTTTCTAGTCAGTACTTTCAGAAAGATTATCCTGTTTTTCATCAAGTTAATGAATGTATAGATATAAACATACTTAATTTCCTCTAGGGCTGGTGGAAAGTGAGGGCCTAATTAAGGATGCTTAGCACCTTGGCATAGCAGGCACTAATTTTCAGAGCCTTGTAATTGTATTTCTGCTCCACCATTCAGAACCTTATTTTTAAATATGAATGCGAAGTAGTTGATTGTGTGGTATAGGGATTTTTGTTAAATATAGCAGCCTTGCAGGGAGCTGCCTTATAAACATGATTTTACTACTCCGACATTCCAGGGAGCAATCCAGACCAGTGAGAGGTTGTACCCCTGCCCTGCAACCTATGTTGCCTCACAGTGCTTTGCTGCTGGGCCCCTCACATACAGCCAAACAGCATGCAGGTCACAGCCTGAGTGTCTGTGTGTAGCTGCATCCTGCCAGTCACACTCCAGTCACACTCTGTTTTCCACCAACCTCGGTTATCAGTTGTAGGGTGGCCCAAACACACTTGCAGTCCTGAATTTCCCCCGAAAATGTATGCTTTGCACTAGCCAGCCTCTCCTGGACAGTTCAGATATTTTAGGTCCATTGCCGCTCTAAGGGAATCAATGTCCAACAGTTTGCTACTTTAAATGGAGTAACCCACACAACTCAGTTTAACACAACACTGGATTAATTTTGATTAAGAAATAAAACATATTTATTTAACTACAAGGAGATAGGTTTTAAGCGAGTACAAGTATAAGGCATTCAAGTCAGAAATGATTACAAGATAAATAAATATAAAACGCTTTCTAGTACTAAAACTTAACAAACTAGACTTGGTGAAGTCCCTTACCACATGTTTCCAGTAACACTGCTGACCAGCTTCTCAGGCCAGGATCTGCTCCCAAAGTTCAAAGGCTGTTTCTTTTGTCGTCTTAGGTGAGAGAGAGAGAGAGAGAGAGAGATAACTTGGGGTGTTTTTGTCCCTCACTTTATAGTCCAGTCCCCTTTTCCTGCTGTGAGGATGGAGTCATGGAGTGTTGTGGTGAAAGAGGTTCCATGCTGCTGTTTGCTAAAATGTAGATGGATCTGTTACTGCCACCCTTCTTTGCCAAAGAACAGCCACTTGACAGATGATGGCCCATCAATTTTGATGACACATGGCTAGAGGCATCAGCTTGTCCTGTCTCTTTGAGAAACTGGTTTATCCAGACTAGTCTGGTAAACACACTTCAGATCTGATTTCAACTTATGTTTATAACTTTAAATATAATGTTACTACACACATTTCATCATGATATTATTGACCAGCGAGTTATTCGTTTTCAAATGATATCACAAGGCATATTTTGTACAAAGGTTATTACAATAATGTGTGGGGTGTGAATACAGGGGTGTATTCAGTCACAACTACATTTTGTGTATTCATACTGCATCCATATTGAGATGCCTTTAAATAATCCTTCACTATCTGTTACCCAGGATTACGTGAACTGCTTGTCAATAAAAATGTAATTTTAGTTTCTCTCATGCACATGCCAATTCAGCATGTTCTTCAACTATTTTATGCAGATAGTACATGTCATTTATGCATTTGAGTCTTCATTAATAGACATCTAGCAAATATTTCTAGTCAGTTTGACTGCCTTTAGCATATTTGTGTTTTATTAAAACAATTATGTTGCATTCTCAGGATTTCCCCCTGTAATTGTTGGTAGGGCTCTCAGAGGAACAACACTGATCTACATGACAATGACATTTCATGCTACTATTATAGCATTGTTAGCTGACTTAAATTTAGCATTTTCATGGAATCCTAAGTATGCTGCAGAAATAGAAAAGATGGGGGAGAAGTAGCATCACAAAGACTATACTTCTCCTATAAATCCTATTTTAGTAAACCAAATTACAAGGCAGAGAGATGGGGGGGGGGAAAGAGGAATTAGGTGACAACTGCTTAGCATCCTAGCCTGTCACCAATGGAGGTCTAGGTTCAAATCTTTATTAATTCATAAGTGAAGAAAGGTAGTCTCATTTCAGTGCCATATTTAGTTTTCATCCACAAAACTATAATTGGTATAAACTGGCAGCCTGTTCAAGAGCAGCCCATGTTGGAATAGCAAAGCCACTGTAGGTTAGCATTTAGCTATAGCTGTGTTCTGAAGCCGATGGAGATTGTATCATGAAGAACTGTGGTTCCTACATGCATGCTCTCAGTCTATACCTGGCTGTAACCTATTGTGTTAGTGCTCACTAAAACTGATGCACTAACTTTACACACAGCAATTAAAAGGAGAGAGAAGAAAAACAAAACCAAACAAGCCTACCTTGTATTCCTGAACTAAATACCATTGGTGCAGTGGAATTCTCCAGTGAGTCTATTCATGTTTTTTTTTTTTTTTTTTAAAGTTTAGTGCATTTTTAAATATAAATTTGGTACATCCATTACATATTATTCTTATTTCATGTAACAAGTCTTTTTGACTTTGTTTTGATTTTATAAAAGTCTAAACGTATTATGGAGGGATTGGTAATTACTCTATAGTTAAGGTTGAGTTGAGTTCTGAACATAAAGCAAGGATCCAACCCTGTATGGTAAATATGCATGTCCTCCCCCAAATTACAGCACTTGCTCTTTGAGTACACAATTTTCTGTAAAGTTACAAATAAATTGGGTAATTAGTTTAGGAATTAAAATTAATTGAAAAAGGGGCCTTTAAGAAATTTAGCGTCAGATCTCTTTTCATTAAAGAAAATGATTTAGTGGTCATTTTTTCCTGTTGTTCATAAATGAAAATTTCTCCTTCAAGAGAAGCTGAAGGATACAATAGTTTACTTTAGTTCAGAGACTTCCATGAAGAACTAATCTCTTTCAAAATGGCTGACATCTTCTATTGTTCTCAGTAAGACCAAAGCTACAGTTGCTCTCAGTTGGTGGCCATTTGGGGAATGGTGTAGAACTCTTGTTCTGCATGGGATTGAGTGTATCTGCCTCCTTGCAGCCTAGGAAGCCATCATCTTCCCTATGCGCAGCTGTGCCTTCAGTCCCATTGAGAACATTACGAGAAGGTGGCCATTTTGAAAGAGGGCAATTCGTCATGACAACTATACTTTATGATGAATTACAAGGAAAAATTACCATTAATCAAAAGAAAAAAATCAAGCGCACAAGAACTCAGTGAGTTTTAAGTATATGGAATGTTTGAAGAGTCTGACAGGCTGAGTTAAGTTGCTTTGGTTGCCCTAATTATACATTTTTATACTCTGTCAAGTTTGGATTTCTTCTAAGTTTAATCTTCATTGTGAATTTTCTAAGTTTACAGTGCTTGGGAGATCATTTGAGATCATTACAACATCCCTTTAATGTAGTTTACCCTAAATTATTGATATATACTCACAATATTAACTCCATTTTAACATAGTTTTTGTCTGGGAATTATACTAAATATGAACACAGAAGTAATAGAAAAGTTACATGAAGGATGTCAAGAGTTTGACTAAACAAAGACAGAGCTGAGATGGCCCTTCCATATTTTAACTTGCAGTTTCCCCATGTAGTTCTTTTTATATCACTCAAAATGATATCTACTATCAAAACAGACTATCATAGAACCTTGCTAATCTGCACTAATAACTAATACCCCCATTACAAATTTTTAGCAAAAAAGGAAATGAGGAAATAATGCATTATGAAATGCACATTCTTATTTTAACAATTGAAATTAATTTCTTACAAAATGGTAGATTATGTATTATAAGCTTTAGTAATGTGAGGCCTTATAAAAGCACCCTCCTAGTAATCCTTTCCTAAGAAGGGAGGAGAAACTAGTTTTTGTAGGTACAGTGTAAGGTATGTGCATTAGAGAAATTCCATGTACTACTGTATTATAATTTTACAAAAAATTCTCTTGGGTGAGTGAGTCCTTCAGATGGGATATAAGAGAACAGAATTATATAGTTAGTCTAGTGATATTACAATGGCTATTTTAAGGCCATTACACTCTTAGCTTTTTCACAATTCTTCCATCACTAAAGTAGGGGTATTTAACAGGAGTCACTGGTTTATCATCTGAATACTGGTGGACATAGCCACAATATGAAGTGTGGCTCAATGGACTTCCATATGAAGGTAGCCTGCTATAGCTCTCCTAATTTGAAATCACTGAATTTAAAGATCGGTTCCCAGCCCCCTTTAGGGTATTTTGTCCTTTCACTGCTGATAGTGGACAGCTACTTACAATCTATTTTCTACTGCAATATTCAATGTAGTTTTAAATGTTTTACATGGACGGGGCTTTCCATTCCCTTAGGAGAATATTATACAATCCAAAGGACAAATTCATGCACAATTTATAAGCACTTGGGTTTTATAATAAAGCACTGTTCTCTTGCAGGTCTTTGGTCATTTGACTTGACTGTGACCCAGCTTCTTCAGGAGAACATTCCAGAATCAGAGCGTGGGATAGTCAATGGTGTGCAGAGCTCTATGAACTACTTGATGGACCTTGTACATTTCATTATGGTTATTCTAGCTCCTCAACCGCAACAATTTGGGTTGCTGGTGATAATTTCCTTACTGTTTGTGATAACGGGGCATGTCATGTATTTTATTTATGCTAAAAAATATAAAATTAAAGAAACTGTGATACAAACAAACTCAGAGAGGAAGCCACAGAATCCCTCTGTCTGAAAGTCTCATAATCCTTTATTTTAAAATTATCCTATCATTCATGGAGTATAGGTTACTTACATAAAAATATTGACTAAACACACTAGCCAAAATGTTCCTCTGTTTCTATTCTTACCCCAAACACACTGCTATATCATGAGAAATAAAGAACAAAATACTAATTGGAAGACTTATTTCAAAATACTTAAAGATTGTGTTTTTTAAAGGACAGTCTCATTTCTGTATCTGCTTAGTTTTTACAATCAGCTCTTTGCAAGGACACACACAACTTATTCTCAGGGTTCCAGATGAAAATGACAGGGCAACGATTTTCTCCTTTGTTATCCATATGTAGAGAATATTAAAATAGAATTCACAATTTGCACATCACAACCCGCCCTTCCTAAGCAAATGATACTGTAGTTTTTTTTTAAACATCTTTTCCATCACACAAGATGGAGCAACAGGAACGTGTCTTCCTAGATAGTTCGTAGAAACCAATAACTTATTTACAGCCAGCACGTTGTGTTCAACTTCTCACTAAGCAATTCTGTATTTTTTATTTTGGACTGGCCGAATACTGACCCCTGTATTCAATATAAATATTTTCCCCTTATTTGAAAGGTTCATTGAAGTTATTATACTAGATGATTTAGGGTTTTTTGCAGCACTTCTTTCTTTCCTACTTTGATTTTATTTTTTAATGCAAAAAAACTAGCTCAGCATCCAATTGTTCAAACAAGTTAGTGACTGCATGGGCAATCATTTCTTCACTAAAGCTTTCTTGAATGCAGTTTCTCTTTTTTTAAAATAAAGTGATGTTTTCAAAGTTTAAATATGTGGCTGTGTATGTTGGTCAAATTACTATTGGGTAATGTGAGCATAAAGTAGAGGCTATAAGTATGGTTTCCTATAAAGACTTGTTCATGACATGGAGTTTTCATTCCTTGAGAAAGAAGCGCAGAGCATCTTAGTGGATAGAGCATATGGGAATTGGATGATCTCGGCTGTACTCCTGGCTCTGCCAGTTGCGTTCTGGGTAACCGGCAAGTCACATCGCCACTCTGTGCCCATTTCCCCAGCAGTAAAATGTGGATAATGATATAGACCTGCTTTGTAAAATGCTTTGAGATAATTTATATATATATATATATAAAGTAAACTATGTAGATTCTCTTTTGTGAATAATATGCGGCTGCTAATACAGTGAGTCACCCACTCCCCCGTTAACATCTTTATTTAAACACACACAGCACAACACTCTCCCTTTGTCAAAGCAGCAGTTGTAAAGTGGGGTTTATCGAGCACCAGAGTAATTAGAGTAGTGGAGAACTGGTGAGAGAACTGTCAGCTATGAATACAAGGGACTAACTGGTATTTTAAGTTACTGTAACTGAAAGTAATAAAAATAGCTTCCAGTTCAAGTCTGCCCCCCAATGATTTTAAAGGAACACTGCTAATAAATCTTGGTGAAGTGTTATCTTGATGGTGAGAAGAACTAACTTGAAGGAAGTTGACATGACTTGTTAATTAGCAAGGTTTATTAGTATTCAGTGTTTCACTTTTTACTGTGGCAATTTGCTTTCTGAGAATCGCTGCTTTCCCTGTAGGTCATGGGTATTCAAGTCTCGTATAGCCTCTCTGGCACATTATGAGCTTCAGTCATACTAGTGTTTTATTCCTTAACCTAACAAACAGAATTGAAAGTAATCGCTCTATGTGTCCGCCTACTCCATCTGAATAGAATGGAGGCAGGGGAAGTGAGGGGAAACTATTTTGCAAGAATGCAGCTATTGTTTCTAAAGTGTGTTATATATTGTTATGGAACCATAGTACATTAGGGTAATATTATAGCCACATGTATTCTTCAGATACTGCCATGTTAAAACAGACCAGTATCAATCTAGTTTAGCATCCTTTCTCCAGCAGTGGCCTGACACCTGATGCATGAATGGACAGTATAAAAACCTTTATTATTATATTTAAACTTATTTTAAAGGAAAGAAAATTCCTTCCCAACTCCCACAGTAAATTAGCTTTTACCCTAAAGCATGAGGGTCCTTTCCTTCCTTCATTTTTTTTAGTTAACCTCTTAATTTAGATGCTGTCTAGACTAGACTTACTGATATATACATATATCTAGCCACTATTTAAATCCCAGGGTACTATTTGCTTTAGGAATGCAAAGGCTACCCCTGCATGCAGATGCCATCCAGCTGAAAGCTATCTGGTGCATCTATCTCCCCATCTAATCTCCTGCCTGTAAGCCTTGCATGAACAATAAAACAGAACAGAAGTAAGAAAACAGAGGTTAACACTGGACAAAGCATAAACTCACAAGTGGCCTTGTAAATAACATGTACTTAGTAGATAAAGAAATAGTAAGAAGAGTTAATGTGTGATAAACTTGCAGCTGCAGCTTTGCTTACTAGCATACTTTGTAGCTTGTGGACAGTTCATGATCCGTACAGAGATTGGTACAAAAATTAGTAGACCAATCATAAAGTGACATTAGCCAATAGTATTAAGTAAAAGAGTGTATATAAGCGAACTCATGATTATGTACATTGAAAGTGCGGTATACCCTGTACCCACCTGCTACACTTGAGCCTGATCAACTCAAGTATAGTTTGATTGTATGCCAATAATGAAACCTCAGTGATGAGTCCAGAGTTGAGCTGATTTCTTGGATTCGAGAGAGCTGGATAAAGTGTTATCCCCAGAACTGGAGAGGTGTTCCGGCTAAGCCGAGTGGAAAAGATCTCTGAGGAAATCCTAACATTGCCGCTGTCACTTGTTCAGACCTAAAATGAAGATGAAAAATGTGATGGCTTTAGTTTGCACTTAATTATAAACTATTCTTCGTGCTTTTTACCCCTTTGCGATAAAGTAGGAAGGAGAGTGGCTCGTTTTGGCCTTTCAAATACCTGAAGAACTGTATGAGCTGGGGACAGAGCTTCTGCCAGTGTCCATAGAGCTATGACAGTTCACACAAGCTGAGGATCTGGCCACCTGACCCGTGATATAGAAATGAATCATTTTGAATACATTTGCCGGCCCAAGCTCTGTAGTGCTAAATATTTTTTTCCAAAAGGCCATGCAAGCACATGTAATATATAACTTTCCCCCAGATTAAGCGTGGTCTCAGTCTGCTAGTTAATATGGCCATCTCATGGAAAAAGCTTTGCTTTAGGAGTCCACACAGCATTTTACAGGAAGCAATGGAAAGCACATGTGACCCTACCTGCTGCTGTCTTTTTATGTAGGCTTCTTTTATGCAAGCTATTGCAATCAGATTACCAGTGTAGTATTTTTTTACTTTACAAACACCCCCTTTCGTGCTGCTATCCAATGGATTGAAACCAAAATAGCATCTAAAAACAACTACCGTCCCAGTGCCTCTAACTAGTGTTTTTTAATCTTTAAACAGATCGAGGATACGTTGCCATATTGGAACACAGCTGGATAGTGTCCTATGAGATAATTGGGCTCATTACACTGGTAAAACAGACTACGCCAAGATTAACAACCTCTAAAATTATTGCTTGTACTCTCTTGAAAGTGCCTGATTTTTTTTTATAGAATCATAGAATAAAATCATAGGACTAGAAGGGACCTCGAGGGGTCATCTAATCCGGCCCCCTGCACTCATGGCAGGACTAAGTATTATCTATTCTAGAATGTGTGATCAGCAGCTCTGACATGAGGTTTTTTTTAAGCATGAGTTCTGTGTGCACCAGCCCCCTACAGTTTGCATTTGTTTGTTTTAAACTTTTTTTGAGAAAAGGGTAACAGCTAGAAGTGACACAGATCTTTAGATGGTTGCCCAGTCATAATATTTAGCACTTCTGTACTATGTTAGCTCTTTAAAATCACTGTACAAACATTAAACAAACTTAATCTAAAGCCTTTCACCTTTTGAGTGACTAGGAGTTGACAAAACAGAGCTATCCCCTTTTGCATTAGAATATTAGGTTTGGAAGGGACCTCAGGAGCTCATCTAGTCCAACCCCCTGCTCAGAGCAGGACCAATTCCCAGACAGATTTTTGCCCCAGATCCCTAAATGGCCCCCTCAAGGATTGAACTCACAACCCTGGGTTTAGCAGGTCAATGCTCATGTCTGCCCCCCTGAACAAAAAGACTTCAATGAAAATCTGCATCTTAAAAGAACCACTAAGGATCTTTCAAAAGAATAGTACAACCAAGGCTGCTGTAGTGACACCCTTGCTTGTTACGTCAGGTCTGGTGTTTGTTTAAGGCTGGTGTAGAATGAAAGGAGAGCTTCCTGTTTCATTTGCATGTGTAAATCAAGCAGACCTTGTTTATTTTTTTCCCTTAAGGTGCTCAAAGTTTAGGGGAGGAAAGTGAATGAGATTCTGCTTATTCCAGGTGTGAAAAAGCATAAGGGACCAAAGTGTATTCTTGTGCAAAAATCTGTTCTCCCTGAAGTCAATAAGGCTACCCAGATGTAACTGTGAGCAGGAATTGGTCTGTGTTCTCATTCCCTTCTCGAATCACATTCCAGGCTTATCCAACATTTTCCACTTGGGAAAGAAGTTAGTTTGAGTTTGGGCAGAAAAATGAGGACTAACTTTAGGTTTATTTAGCTTTAAGTTTTTGGAATGAAACTCAAAAGAAATCAAATGTGAGGTACTTTTATGATGGATTGAACTGCTAGAGAACCAGCAAATGGACAGAACCTACCTTTAGCCTATTCAGCCACTCTTTCTATCAGAAAGTGGATTTAAAATCCTTGAGGGAGATGGGAGGGAGAAACCTACAACATTGTGTGTTGAGCTTCCTCTGCGTGTTGCAACCCCTTAAAAGTACAAAGATGCGTTGGCCTGTGGAACGAGGCTGAGAATAAGGAAAGAACTTGGTTGCCTGGGCATCCCAGTGCAGAAAAAATACATCAAAGAAAAAAATTGGATTTCTTTGATTTTTAGTACAGTTCAATACAGTATTGAACACAGTGCGTCATAAATCTGAAGCCTCTCGATTGTAGGTACTGTAAAAGTTAAAGTACTGGTATCCAGAATGGGATGTTTTGTTGTTTTTCCTACAAATGTGTGGGAATTCAGTCCTTTTACACTGGAGGGGCAATAGTTCTGGCTGGAGCTGGATAGAGTGTGTGCAGGTTCTGTGCAAGCTTTCCACCCTACCACTCTGGTAGTGCCTCTCCCTCACCACCTGCCCTGCCCCGCTCCCCCCAGGCACTCGCCAGTTGTTCAGAAACGGGACCCGGCCCACATAGAAGATGATGGAGATGGGCACTAGGACCCAGGAGGCAGTGTCCTGGAGCTGACTGCCAGCCTCAGCCGAGGAGAGGGACAGAGGTAGGGTTACCATATTTAAAAAATAAAAAAAGAGGACACTCCACGGACCCTGGCCCCGCCCCTTTCCCCACTCCCGGCCCCACCCCAACTCCGCCCCTTCCCCAAAGTCCCCGCCCTAAGTCCCCCTCCTCCCTCCCAGCCACGCAAAAAGGGCTGCCCGAGCGCTACCGGCTTCACGGTTTGCTGGGCAGCCTCCAGACCCTGCGCCCCTGGCCGGCGCTTCCCCAGCGCAGCTGGAGCCCGGG